GGGAAGCACTTCGCACGCGCACACACTTAAAATGTCCACGCGCGCCGCGCTCACATTTTGCTGGGCCCGCGTGCCTTAGCACCGCTGCTATGACTCCATCCTAGGGGAAACACTGCACTGTGTACCTGAGGGGTCTCTGTCTGGGTTATATTCGAGGGCATTCTGCCAGATGAGATCCACGTCATAGAGGAACTCCTTCACCGTCTCATACTGATGACGGTCGATCTTAGAGAGAACTGTCGACAGGTCCATAGGCTGCTTGATAACCTCAGCGTAATCTGGCACCTGAAACACAACAACGAGGCTGCTGTGAGTACAACTGAGGGGAAAAGGGATCGGACTGAACACTGAATAGTAAGGCTTTATTAGGGAATATGGAATGAGATGAAAGATTATAATGGAACAGTCACCTCTTCTAAATCCACAGGCTTTGTAAAAGCCTTGAAGCGTTTGTCTTGGGACAGGCGGTTAGTTACATCACGCAGGAAGAGGCGGAGCTCCCTGAAGGTCCCTTCATCCTGCTCAGCCAATCGCTGAGTCTCCTCTTCTGTCAGCTGGCGTGGGGTAGGCGGAGGGGCGACAGGGAGCACCTCCAAAGCATTGAGCACTGAAGAAAGTGGAATGTTGACAGAGGAATACAAAGTGAAATCAACTAACACAATACTACATAACGCACAACATTTATTTGACATAGACTTTTGGTTTGCCGACAGCCTTCCTTTCTTCTCTGTGTTTACCCTCACACAATCCTCCACCTGAGCGTCTTGTATCCTGCTCCATTTGGGCTGGATATGTAAACAGTAACCAAACCCCCAAAAATCCCAACTTGTTTCCTTGTTTTTTTTATTGTCCATCCATGGAAGGTTTAATGAATATATTTTTCAGGTATTTTCCTAAGCAATCAAATCAGCAAAACCAATTGCTGTAGTGTAGCTAATAGGTGTATGACATCATCATTAAAATACTGTGTTAAACAAAAACACACAAAAAACCCTGAATGATGCTTTTCTAGTCCTCAGCTTAGGGACTAAAACCTACTTTAACTACAGATCACATAAAGCTTAGCACCGGCCTTACAATCATAACAAAAAAACTGTACACCTCTGCATTGCTTTAATGTGTTATTTTATTTAAGATTTAAATATAGTATGTTGTTTTTAAAATGTACCATTTGTATTGAATATAAACAATTGTTTGTGTATTGATCTTGTGTTTTGTATAAAATAGTGATTTTAAACATTATTTAGGCTTTAAATAAGCCCCATGGTTTTTTTGCCTCTTCCTGCACTGTTTATCGTTTGTTTTCTGTTATGTTTGTGTATTTCTAAATTGTAGAAAACCATTAAATAAATTAGTAATGAATAAAATAAACTTCTCTATTTCTCACCAGCTTTCTTTTTTGAGGCAGGGGCCTTGGCAGCCTGACTGAGGATTAGATCCTCAAAGAAGTTTCTTCTTTCTCTGCTGTTGGGGACCTGGACATGGAAAATCTCCCCGTACTCCATCCGGAATAACTCCTGCACCTGAGACAAGAAAATAAGGACCCAAGAGAAGACATGTGGATGAGTGTTGTCAGTGGTAGAGAATCTTCTATAGAGAGAAAATTAGACGCATTGACATTTTATTTTCCCTCAACAACTATCTCCTTTAATGTTGCGCCCTCATGTATCAACAGCACGGTTTAAGCGTGCCGTGCCCGGCCCGTTTTTTGTTGCGTTTCCACTAGGCCAGGGGTTTTCAAAGTGTTGGTAGGTGAGCCTCCCCTCAGAGAACCTAAGAACAGCCGCGCCCCCCCTCCCAATTATTATTGCTGTTATTATTGTTGTTGTTGCTATAATGCAGGGGTATTCAATTGCTTTTCAAAGAGGTCCAGAAAGAGAAAATGTAATTAAATGCTCTGTTTTCGCTGTCTACCTTCCGCCATTTGAAATTACTCCGACTGTTTCTCTTGTCTCGTCTTCTGTGTGTGTGTGTTTGAATTTATCGTGCTGACTGCACCGATTTGATTGGCTGAGTAGCGTCACCTCCTTAAAACATTAAACAATAACTTTTTAAAACATTTTTATTTTTATGTTTTAAACATATTGTATAAAACTCCCCCACTACTTGGACTATTCCTTGCACCCCTCTAGAATAAGCCCGAATGGTCTCAACCATATTGCATCAGTAACGTGCACTTGTTATTATAACAAGATCGCAAGGACGCTGGTAGCGATCGAAAAATGTAGTGTTGTTCAGTTTGTGTGTTGTGGAACATGCGTGTCCGTGCATGAAAATATACCACACACCCAATTACAATTGCATGTTCAATTCACTACCCTGGAAGTTAATACAGTTGTTAAAGTTGGAACAGCCTGTGGACAGCCGTTCTTCCTTGCATGTCAGTCGCCGACACCTTCTTACAGAGGACAGGCACATCTAGCTGCAGCACGACCCGTATATTTCCGCACGCCGTGTTCTCAAGACATATTTTTTTTAACATTTTCAACATGGTGGATAAATCCTTATATGCTCCCGGCAACACACTGAACGTCAACTTTGCCTCCTTATTACACTCACCCCTACTTTAGTGGGAACAATGAGTCTGCGTCTTTGATGCACACAGGAATAAACGCATCATCCTCTGGCTGCAGCCTTTACCGGTACTTGCTTTTGATCAAAGTCAATGCGGAAAACCTGCACTCACACAGGTAGGTGGAGGTGAAGGGAATGAGCACTTTTACAGCCTTTTCACGAGGNAAACTCTATTCTTGTTATTTTTAACAACTTTTTTGTTACTGTCATATTATTTTATACCTGTTTTTCATTTAGTCTCTAATGTCTCATTAATAACTATAATGATCATATCAAGGTGTGCCTTAACCTCACTGAGCTGAGGTTATTTGAGCCTCTCAGGAGAGAGCTCTCTTCCACCTGGTTGGAGAAAAGCTCTTTAAATTCGTTAGCATAGCTAGCTAACCAGATGCTAATAACAACAGATCGCCACTGTGCTTACAACTAAAGACACAGCCACGCAAAAACTGCGGCATGTGTACGGCTCCTTATGGGTACTGCAATATTTGAAGAGCTGGAGTGGCGTTCCGGTGCTCTCCGTCTGCACTCTAGTCTAGTCTACACTCCTTTCAGACGAGACATAACCACGTGAAGACATGGTGAAGACACGTTACGCTCGTGATGTGTTCATGGAACCTGTCCTTGGCCAGGAAAAACAGGCACTCACTTGTTTAATTATTTTGCGATCTAGATTTCTTCTTCTTTTTTGAAGTGAGAAGTTGTCCGTCAGTCGGACGGACTAACGGACGGACGGACCCCCCCCCCCAAAACGAAAACACTTCGGTTCTCCACGAATTACACAAGTCACCCAAAGCAGCTTTAAAAAAGCGGGAGGCGCCGAAAAGCGACTAATTTGCATCACTGAACTTTTGTCTAGTTTCTGAACAGATATGAGGAGCTGTGAGCTCTGAGTGCTAACAGCTAACGGCTGATGTTGGTTTTCTGAAGATGACGTCACAGCTCTGCCTACACTGCGTTACTACCCCAGTTCCTAAACTGTAATGGAAACGCAGCATAAAGTGAGCCTGGCCTACCAAGGCCTAACTATACCGTACTAAGCCGTGCGAGGCCCTGCATTGGAAATGCGCCATTAGTCTACAGGGCCTCATTCCTCTTACCTCCACACTCAGTTGGTCATACTGCAGGTTGCATGTAGCAAGGAGCAGTATAGGAGCGAAGGAAGGGATGGAGCTGAGCAGGCTGAGGAAGGTGGCTCTTAAGGCCGGGCCCACTGTTTCCCACCACTGACCGATGTGAGGGATGTATAGGATGCTGGGAGATGTCCGCTTCGCTTCAACAAAGATCTGTAGAAAAAAGACAAATAAAGATTAATTGATGATACTTGTATTTACATTATTGTATTTACAGTGTCCACAAACATTGGCACTAACACAGAACAGTAGCAATTTCACTATGACATGATCTATCTCATCTTATAAAGGCTCAATTCCTAAATCAAAAAGGTATGAGGACATAGGAAAGGAAGGTGAAGACAGCACAGTGGCATCAAACCAATCAGTCCCATGAAAACTATTTTGATGATGATGAATATTTTTTGTAGTTTTATGATGAATATTTTTTGTAATTTTAAGTATTGTAAAAATGTTTTCTGGTTACAGGTTGTTTTTTGAATGAGGATTTATTTTGTTTTTCTTTATTTCACATTACTCTAAACTAAAGTAATTAAATGTGACAGACTTCTGTTCCGGTAATGTGATGGCTCTTTCATACAAGTATTTGTCAGCAGTACATATTTATCCCCACAACCCATTTGTAAAGGAGGCGGGGCCCATGAACTACAGTCACTGTTGCAGCCATTTTGGCCAGTGAGGTCCACTGAACAGAACACAGTGAATTTGACAAGGCTGCAAAAGTAGAGACTGAATGTTTTACTTTGTAATTTTTCTCATTTACCTGAGCACAGGTCTCTTCTGGTGCAGTTGCGCTGGCTCCAAACAGTACAGCCATGTCCAGTGTGTACACGGTGAACTTCTCCAGAGCGTGGAGGACGGCAGGACCCAGGTGGGAGCTCTGCCCTGAGCCCAGCCTGCCCATCAGCAGCAGCCTGGGCCGGTAGGAGGTCGGGTGGCTCAGCACACTCCTACACACCCAGAGATGACCCAGAGATGAGTTAGGTGCTAGGAAAGGTTTCATTATTTGGATCAAAGATTTGACTGCTTTATTTTTAAAAGTGCAGCAAAAGATAAAGGGAACTAAAGTAATATAACTACAAGACCCATAACAACATAGTGTAAATGCCTAAGAAGTATCAGCAGTGATTTTGCTTAAGAAATAATGTAAAACAAGATTGATTTACAATCATATTGGCCCTTGATGAAGTGTGCCACCAAAATGTCACAAAGGATCCAAAGGAGGCACTGCTAGGTGTGATACCAGGAGATATATTCTACAAATACTGCTTACAGCAGAAATTAAATGTATCACAATTAAGTGGTCAAAACCTGACCCCCAACACACAATGTATGGATTGAGAGGGTGTGGTGAAATCTGTTGGATGGAGTAAATAACATTCTCTGAGGATCCAGAAAGAAATATTTTTTAAACGGCTGAGTCCCCGGATGAAGGTGCTGATTCAGTAAGACGACTGTGGTTTACCAACATCTGCTGAACCATCCCAGTGGCTAAAGCTCCTCATCAAGGTGCATCAAGTGGCCTGCACATTTTTTTCTCTGTACTGGCTTGGTAGATACAAATAAATGAAAAGAACTTGACAAAAGTGTGAATATGTTTGTACAATGAAAGTTAAGTGAAAAAAAAAGAAACGATCGATGAAGGATGAGGAGATCATTTCTGCATAACTTTGCATTCTATAAATTGTTAACCAACCTGGTGAGGTTGAGGAGACCCTTAACAGCAGGCGTCTGTCCACTAGAGCATATTTCTGAGTTCTCATCCTCACTGTACATCAGATCATCCTCAGACAGACCACAGGCCACATCTGGAAATAAACAAATGTATTCATTGTAAAATGAACATTCAATATAAGTGTGTTCTCTTTATAATAACTTACAAATAAAAGGGAAAGCCATTTGCTAAGGCAAATTAAATGATGAAACAGAATAGAACAAATAAAGTAAGACCGCACCTAGTACTCTCTTCCTCTTTAAGCCCTGCTCAGCGTGTGGGAACAGTCTGCTGACGGTGTTGAGGATGTTCTGCAGGGCGGCGCTCAGCAGAGGACGGATGGCCGGTATCAGGGCCTTGGCTGGTGACACTACTGCCCTAAGAATCACAATCAGTATCATATTATAATAAAATAAACATACGCAAGTACCAGGCACTGGAAACTAAGACAATTGTTTATAGATGTTCCAAATGGGTTTTAACTATAGAGTACGTTTGGTTATACCTCTGGGAAGCAGGCACCATCTTGGACATGGCCGACATAAAGTCTTTGCTTGTGATCGCGATTGAGTCCACATCAAGCACAAGTTTCTGCGATGAGGAGTAGATTTGTGGGTAGCGTCGGCGCAGTGCACACAGGGCGGACTCTGAGCACACTGCCTTGATGTCTGCACCGCAATAACCTGGCGCAGAGAGAGAAGTTGGAGGAATGTAAAAAGATGTGCTGGTAGTTTTGTTTCCTAGACACAGGTTTTGTCCTGGGCTCACACCTGTGTCATTTCCAGTATATGTTGCACATAAAGCCTGAAATGTCTTTCAGTACATTTGATACCAAGTTATGCAATAATTACATTTTTTATTTAATGCAGTAGCTTTTTGTTCTTGGGACATTTAGCCTTTGCATCTTCAAGCTGCTGGACCATTGTTCTTGCACTATACAGTGTAAACATACCGACACATTTATCGGCCAATTCTTCCAGAAAAGTGTCACAGGGAGGTGGATCCCACAGTCTGGTGAGGATCTTCAGGATGTCCTTCCTTGCCTGCCAAACAAAATAAAATCTCAGCATTTCATGTTTTTTTGGTCAAATCGTTGAAAGCTGAAAGAATTTGAACGCAGAAAAATCACCACATGAAATTACTTGTAAATATATATGAAAAGTGTTGAAGAGCATCTACATCATCTCCTCACCTCTCTGTCTGGCAGGCCGAACAGGAACTCTCTGTCAAAGCGTCCTGGTCTCCTCAGTGCTGGGTCGATGGAGTCCAGTCTGTTTGTAGCTCCGATCACAACAACCTCTCCTCTAGCATCTAACCCGTCCATTAGAGCCAACAGGGTAGACACAATTGAGCTACAGAGGAAAAAAACAATGTTACTCACAATGTGTTCGGGGAACAAAGAGGATAATACGATAATACGTCAAATGATCCAGATGAATTGTGTTGGATTGTTATCACGACTACATGCTTCCAACCTGTGTCTTTTTCAAGTACAGTATCCTTAAATATTGTGAAGCCCTCATTCTCATTGCGAGCTGCTCGACCTACATTCTTTTCCTGATATATACACAATTCGGATTAAAAGATAATACTATAGTAATAATAAATGTCAAGGCAAGTAGCTTTATTTTCTGAAGGACAACAGCCGAGCTATAAATAATTTGCTAAATGCTGATTAAGATGAATTTATTTATTTTATTCGTTCGAATTTGGCAGCCATATCTGGCAACCCACCACAAGATAAACATATTTGGATGGTTTTACTATGTTTTACTTACTGGTCTCAGTGCCATCACCAGACATGTTTTGTTCAAGGTAAGAACAGGGTTGTTGCTCACCTGTGGATCTGGTCCTGACGGCTGGACCTGACTGGAGCCAAACCATCAATCTCATCGAAGAAGATGATGGACGGACGCATCTGGTACGCCTGGAAACAATACGAAGAGAACTCAGTTGCAGATTGTATTATCTTTAATCCTGACACTTGATCATTTCAAAATAGAGCTATTTTATCCCAATCAACAAGTTAATGTGTGGCATTCTAAAATTGATGGGTTGTCTTTTGCTGACTACAGGGACCAATCGCACTTCTCAATCCCAAAAAGTATATTCGATGAGGAGTTTGGTTTACCTGATCAAAAAGCAGTCGTAGCTGTCTCTCAGATTCTCCCACCCACTTACTGAGGCAGTCAGCTCCTTTCCTCATGAAGAACGACACCTTTTTATCTCCCTGACTGCACTCATTGGCCAGCGCTCTGGCTACGAGGGTTTTCCCTGTGCCCGGTGGACCGTAAAACAGACAGCCCCTAAAGACAAGAGAGAAAAGACAAAGAACAATAATGAGGATATTATTATGTTTTTGCTGCCATTGCAACCCAACGAGCTTCCTATAAGAACACAGTAAATCAGATATTGAGTCACAGAATATAAAATGAATGCTTAACCATATCATCCCGTTATCTTCTCAACAAACACACGCTGATTACCTGGGAGGCTGAATCTTGAACCTCTCAAAGACTTCTGGGTAGAGGAGAGGGAACACCACCATCTCCTTCAGCGATGAGATGTGTTTGCTCAAACCTCCAATACTATCAAACCGCACCTGGATGACAAGATAAGATAAGATAAGACTTTATTCATCCCGAAGGAAATTGTTGTGCCAGAGTAACAAAATACAATAAACACAGCAGCACAACAGCAAAACTGTACACTAAAAAAGTGGGATGTGGTAAGTGCTGCTGTCCAGTCCTCCTTTCACATGTGTTGTATTAGCAGGAACACAAGGCTTGGTTTTATCCTTTGTGTTCAAAAAGTGGAGGAGGCATACAAGGCATGTCCCTGTTTATAAGACTCTCTCTTTAGATTCATTAAACTACCGATGCTTACCGTCTTGTCTATTTGCATAGGGTCCACATCAGCCAGGCTGGCTCCAATCTTCATCCTGTCCTTTTGGATCCCCAGCAGGTCGTCTTTCACAAGGTTCATAGGCAGACATCTACAGGGAGACACGAAAACAGAATAATCAACTTTCAGGTTGTTTTTATTGGAAGCTCTTTTATCTCAAATATGATGGACTTTCTTAATGTATTTTCTTACAAAAATTGTGTTTTGCATCAGAAACATTAAGTCCTTTTTCCTACTCTATCGATATAATATACTATTGAGAGGATGATGGGTACTGGAAACATGTAGAATGTTATCACAAAGGGACCCAACACTAATCAAGCATTATTTCACTCTTAAAATGGTTATCTAATTTTACACCTTAACTTAAATTTGGATATAGAAATACAAACTCTAGAGTGCTGGAAAAGATGTATGAAGTTGTGAAACTTCAAACAAAAGGGGAGAAGTTGATATGTTATTGATTTATTTTTACAAATTAAGTCTTTTGGAGCACATTGATATTTGAATACAACCAGAAAACATATTGTTTCGATGACACTGAGTTGCGCTCTCACCTGTTGACGGACCTGCTCCTGTTCTTATTTCTCCTTATCTGGAACTTCTCATCGTCTGAAGATGAGGAAGTGGAGTCACTACTGTGGATAGCGTGTCTCCTCCTGCGAATGCAACGAAGCCACAACATTAGCTCTCATCCCATCAGCAGCATTATGACTGCAACACATTTATGCAATGCTTGTTTTTTTATTATTTCAAGCCACTAAATGTTACCGATTCTTTATTTGGTTGTTCACAAAAAGCAGTGATTCATTCAACCACTTTTTAAAACGACATCGTCACCATGCCTGTCTAACACTTCGTCTGGACAAAGCGCAAGGAGAACTTCACTAACATAATTCTCCTATGAAGTTTAATGTGATAAAGAATGAAACCTACAAAATACAGACCAATAGAAACCAGTCTTTTAAAGAATGAGCCTCCCTTTTTTGCTCGGACAATTATTAACTCTGGTGAATTTGACTTCAAATATACCATAACCCAAATGTGCCACACTTACCAACAATAAAAGTGCTAGCAAAGACAGACAGCACCACAAAAAACAAACAACAAACCAACAATAAACATTCAAATGGACAAGTGAGGGTCTTACCTCTCAGAACTACTCCTGAGGGTGGGATGAGGAGAATCAGAAAAAAAGAGAATAACATTTTGGGATCGATTTCACATAGGATGAAAAATACTAATAGCTATAAGAGGCAGTGCAATATCTGACTAGGCTTGGGAAATGTCATTAGTCAAACTAGTTTTTTTCCTGACTTCTATGGTAATCAAGTGTTATTGAAAGCAGATGGTTTATTTGTTAATGGCTGATGTTAAAGCAGTCATACTAACCTGCTGGTTCTTCTGTTGTAGGGGCTCCTGGGCGCTGTGGAGCTGAATCTGAACCTGCGTCTGGTCGGAGACGAGTGTTCCGCTGAGTACCTGCCGCGCTTCCTGGGCTCTCTGGGTTCTAAGAAAACAATAACGGACCTCATCAAACTCTGTCAGATTTTACAACATACTAACATGGATTAAAGGTGCAGTGTTTAGTCTGCAGCTGCCTGCTCCACAAAGAATGGAGGACAGCATTTTACCGTTACTACTGGGCCAAAAACAATATACATTTACAGTCATCAGTTGTTTTAAAAAGGCGTCCGTCTCCTGGGGCTGCCAGTCATTCTACTTGACCTGAGCAAACTCAAGGACTACAGTATTCAATGCTGTCAGTTGTTATATTTGTAAGAACTTACAACACAAAAAAACAAAACAAAACATGAAAAGCCCTGGTATAAATTACCATCCTGTGGGACCTGGTAGCGAACCACAGTCTTCCGTTGTCTAAAGTCATAACGCCTCTGATTTTCTTCTTCCTCATCCACGCCATCCTCATCTCCTTCCTCTTCCTCCTCCTCCTCCTCCTCCTCTTCTTCTTCATCTCCCCCCTCCACTGCTTCCTGGTCAACCTCATTCCCTTCTGTGAATTATGAAAAAAGGGTAGAATTGTTATTTCAAATGATCCATATTTTTAAACTAATTAATTTTCAACCCACAGCCGAATACTTCAATCATTATTCCCAGGCCTGTACCTGAAGTGGTTATTATTGAACTAATCCATCTCACCTTGGATCTCCTCCTTGGCGTCTGTACTCTCCACATCTGTCCTCAGAGACCTTGTCAATCTGCCCCTGGTGTACACGCCAAGCTGCTACAGGGAAACAGGTCAATGCTGATTGGTTCACAGTCTAGAAGCTTGTTAAACATCATGAAAAAGCTAAATGACATGCTGTCAATAGAATACACAATACAAAGCTTGAGATGAAGAGTGAAGTTTCCTGTGTGGGTTATTACCTCTTCTTCAGTGTCTCTATCTCTGCTCCTGAGCCTGCGTCTCATCTTCTTCATGTGATCCATCTTCTGGAGAACAGCTTCAGCGGTGCTTAGGGGCAAGTAGAGAATAAACTTGTCAGATTTAATCAAGTTTATCTCTAATCTAATGACTCATTATCTCCAAATCCACACCCACAGTCCAGTGTGTATGTTATCCCATGTGTTAACAACTACCTTAAGGTGATTGTTTCAAATGAATCAGTGAGTGAAGAAGCAAAAAGAAGCTGGGGTGAATGTGACTGAACTCACTTGGTGATGAGGCGGTCGTAGAGCACTGACTGTTTACGGGTATCCAGTTTGTATCCGGTGATTCTGGAACTTCGTCGCACTGAACCCTCCTCCTCCTCTTCCTCTCCCTCCTGGCTCTGTAGATTAAAGCGGCTCCTCTTGGGAGTGGATGATCCCTCCACCACATCTGAAACATCTGGGGCGATGAAAACAGCTTTCATCAGATTACTAGTAGTAGAGACCCTATTAAAAACGAAATTCTGCTAAACATGTTGTGTGTGCTATACAATGTCCGAGCTCAAGGACATTTCTTTTTAGAATTGGCTTTGTAGCGAACTGTACCTTCTTGCTGCTTGCCACTGGATGCGTTCCCCTCTCTCTGCAGCCTGGAAGATTTCCTTAACAGAAGAAAGACACATACAAATCAGAACTGCATACCTCATGTGAGGTATACACTCATATTTGTGAGCACATTTTTATGTTTGCACAAATGAATACCCCTTGTGTAAGAGCTCCATCAAATATGATATGGCTAGCTTGTATTTGGAGCACTTATTGTTTTACATTCTATAAAATGTACCTCACATGGTAAGCAGCAACAGACAACATCACAAATATTCAAGACAATAAATGAATCTTTTGACACGTTTTGTCATACTAAACCTCAGAGCTGCTGGCAAAAGGTTTTATGGAGATTTTGCGGGCGAAATTCTCCATACATCGACTGCCAGGACAACACTTGGTCACCTAGAAGGTAACTGGTTAAAAAGCATTACTAATATCAAAGTAAGTGGGCCTGTATTACCTGAGGGATCCTCCTCTAGTGTTGTCTTCAACCACAGGGGAGCTGGTCTTTGGCTCCATGTCAGCAAAAGAGACCTCTAGTTTAACCCTCTGCCCTCTGGTCCTCGGAGTGTGATAGGGTCCACTTCCCTCGTCCTGCTTCAAATCAGCATGTCCCTGCCACATTAAGAGTTCAGAGTTTATAGCATAAGTACAGGCAAGGATGCATGTCTGCTTCTTTCATTTAAACAACTTAAATTATCATAGGAAGAACATTTTAATTTTCCGTCTGCGCAAACTGCCGTGTACTAGATAAAAAACTATAAACCACTGACTCTTCCCTGCTATTTGTTCTTACTTAGAAGTGTGATACAAACAGTGTAAATCCTCACTATTACCATGTGAAATGTGTTCCTGACTCATAATAATTCATAGCAACAAATTGTTCAATATATGTGGCTTTTTCATTCAAATTTGGTCCATGAATATACATGTTTATGACTGCCAAGTCTTGACTGCTTTGTGGCAGAGACTGACTGTCCCATAACTTTACAAATAAAGACCTGCTTTTCATAGTCAAAATAACTTATTTTCTTCATTCACTAAAGGGTTACCACTATCTTCCATATATTCCACTGAGCATCATCTCTACATGCACATTGTTGAAACACTTGTTTGTTGTCTCAGATGTTGGCTAATGGGCTAGAAATAAATAATTAAAAGTAAGCATAAGTAAGTTTACTCAGAGAATATACTTTATCAACTACTTTATGATCAATATATATTCTTAACTCCAAACATGTGGAGACTAGATAAATCATAGGGTTTCAGAATTGAAGAATGAGTTAATGAAAAAAGAATGAATGAACATATGGCTCAACTCATCCCTCTACAATCAAACTTATACCAAAGCACAACACCTTGCTAGTCAAACGATATACTAATAATAACATTTGCCTTTTTAAAGCCATGACAACACTGAACCCAAGTAACAGTTACAGTTAAACTGTTTCATTATATAAGCACCACATCAATCAGCCCATGATATAAGAGTTTAAGTACATGTTAGGAGGGACTACGAGTGCCAATTCACAAAATGTGTCAGTTGCTCTAAGACTTAGTGACAAGCTGGCTAGTTAGCCTAGCACGCTAGCGAAACTAATACAGCAGAGTTAAGTGACTAGATAATTGATACACCAAATACATGGTTGTGTAGTTATCTAAGCAGCTGTCTAGGTGTAAATGCTCACATTCACTGTGTTGTTTTCGGTGCTGCTGAAGCTGTCATCCAGGGCCCGGGAGGACCGAGTCTGCCGGGCGGACTTTCTGTGCGACGCGGGAAGCAGCGACAAAAACTCCGAGCTTGTTTCCAACTCCATCGACCTCCTGTTCGGGGTTGTTGCTATCGGTTCGGCTCCGGGACCACCACCGCTGCTGCGTAATATCACCATCTTGACTCCAAAACGACCTTTTTCCAGCACGGACGACGGGTAAACAGCCGCGATACCGCCTTAAAATTTCGTTAACGTTAAACGTGCCGACAACATAGTACAGCTCACAGTAAATATCCGCCAGCTGACAAGCTGCTAACTAAAACCCTTGATTTCTGGCGCCACAAACGTCACTAGAAGTAATGAGGACAGCGAATAAGAGCTTCCGCTAGAAGAAATAGATCTCTGGGATGAGTGCGAGTTAAATAAAGCTATAAAAGTAGTTTTAATTATCGGCAATATTACAACATAAACACTTCATCTATATTTAATGGACATTTATCATAACACTCATCGTAATTGTTTAAGTTTCCAATACTCAACATAGGCGGAGGGATGCGTAGCCATTCTTAAAAGGTGTTCCAGCTGATCTTAGAGCGCGCTATTTCACCAATCGCGTGCAGCTTATTGTGTGTACACAGTGTACTGTGAGCACATTCACGTTTCACTTATTTAACAATAGTATTTGACCAAACTGCCATATCCAAACAATCGCATAAGAATTCAAAAACACAGAGTCAACATTAACTCATCGTCTTTTATTTGAATAAGTGACAGATACCAGAAGAAAAAATACAAACTCTAGAATTGTTTCTAGCCTGAAAAAAAGAGCTTTTTGTAAAACGGCTGTACAGGCAACCAGATCTTAAGTGTAAAATCTCAACACTTTCCATTGCATCCTTCCTCCTAAGCCGATCCTCGTTTATTGTATTTCAGGGATACTAATTAGGTGCAGTCCGGTGAATAAAAAGGAAAACTGTCAATGTTCAAAATGAGTAAATACCAAGTCTTTTATTACCATTTTCAATGTTGTCCTTTTTGTTCACCTAGAGGGCCATTTTGCACAATGGTTACAAGCATTTACATTCTGAGTAATGATACAGCAACATTGCTTGATTTGAAAACCGATAGAATTGCCTTTGAAACAGTAATGACAAATAAGAAAATGTAAGGATTCAATGGAAAACTTGAGATTTCACGCATCAGAGCCCACATTCCTTTTCATATACACAGCAGCCAACTGTCACATTTCACAGTACCAGGGTATCCATTGTATAACGAGGCCAAATAGTTATGTGATAACATTAGTTTGCCATCTCACAGTCCCCGATGTTCAGCCTATGCAGTTGTGAAAAGCCACATCACAAAGTAAAGAGGGTCTGGGCATAATACAAAAGAGGCTGTCTTATTCTGCCAACTCACATTTATAGTTTGGAATATAGTGAGGTTTTAGCATTTGTTCAGATGTATTTTCAGGACAGAAACAGTTTGGTCATATCTCAACATGGCCAAACTATGTGACTACCTGTGGTTTAAAATAATGTGTCATGAGACAGTTGGCTACTGTGCTTTTATGTCATGAAATGTGTCCAGAGAGCCCCATCACCAGGGAGGGTGTGTTCACGCAATGGCTGCCAGGTAGTCTTTCACCTCCGCTGGGGTGAGTCTTCTGAAGCCGGCCTCGTTGCAGATCCCCACCTCAATGTTCTCCTCTGTCATCTGACCCTCAAAACTCTCCTGAAACACAGAGATAGTAAGGTATAAATGAAGGATACTACTAAGGGAATATGTTCTATATCTTAGGTATTTTCATAACAAATATCATACCTTCAATGTCAAGATGGCTGTGTGGATGGCATCCTCCAACTCCAGATCATTGTTATACCTGGAGAGGAAAATGAAGTGGTTATTTAACAATCTGTGAAGTGTAAGCCAAATTGAGTATGCTTTGTAATGCTTTCCTGTATATTATTCGAAGTTCTTGTTCCAGTTCCTAAACAATCTTTGGTAAGCTATGTGAATAATGCCCTTTTAAAATTAGATATTTGTGCCAATATGATATAGTGAGCCATTGCGAAATCAAATTCATTGCATTTATGTCACCTAAACATGAATCCTGAGAATCAGTTTCTGGGCCTCATTGGAAATGTAATGGCAACATTTTCATGGATTTCTATAACTCAAGTGAAGCGGGTGGCATCCTTGTGGATCTTTGAGTGCAAACTACAAATCACATGGATGGAAAGCAACTCTTCAGCCCTTATTATAGACTACACTGGGGCACCTATTCAATCTATCAGACATTTAATAAATGACATTCAGACTTTGCTCAAAGTTGCAATAATATAACAGACTTTGAATGCATCATATCTCCAAAAATTACCATAACAAATAAGTATTTTTACACCTGTCTTATGTTGATCTTTTTTTTTTTTTCATACTCTGTAAAGTACTTTGAGCTGCGTCAAGCATGAAAGGCGCTATATAAATAAAGTGTATTATTATCATCATCATCATCATCATCATCATAGCTATCATAAAAGTTCAGAGCACTCAGTACTTATTGTGGAGACACTAATTGTTGAATACAAAAACTAAGAAGCTCACATCTATACATTTGCTGTCTGCAAAATCAATTTATTTAATTAATTCGACAAAAATTGTTTTTTATGGTAACGTCTTACCTTTTTTCCAGGAATGTTTTTCCATTAACGTAGTTCTTGCCCATGGCTGTGGCTTTCCATGCAAAATATGCACCCTGCCAGCAAGAAACGGAGGAAAAGAAGTAACAGATTATTATAAAAGAGTTAGAATCACAGCAGACTAAGAACATGGAATAAGAGTTGAGCACACTCCAAACATGTGCTACCAACCAAACATGAAAGTTAGTAATACAACATACAGAGGGGTCTGACTGGAACAGGTAGGGTTGGCCTTCATCCCATCCGGCAATCAGCAATGAAACACCAAACGGACGCACCCCACTGTAGGAGAAAACAACACAGGTTCAGTTAAAAATAATTCTGACGGATAGAGTCAATAGGCGCATTCACACCGCATTACTTTTCCCACAAAGGTTCATGAGAACTTAGTTCATCAGAACTCTTTAGTTCTGATGAACTAAGTACAGATCGCGTTCACACCGCGTTCATAAGTCCCTGGGGGTGGATTAGGCCAATGAAGCCGCTGACGTCACTTCTTCTGCTTTGGGTTTACTGGCAGGCCGCAAACAACTTCACGGCGTATACTGCCGCCCAAAATCCCCGGCCGGAAGTCCCCGGAGTTGGGGACTAGCTTCAGTAGAA